CCCATCTCGGGGATCTACTACACCTTGGGTAGAGTCCAACATGGGGGAACCACGACCCTCTGAGGACATATAATTATATCATAATCATATTGCTGTAATAGTGAGTCTGTGGGGCGACACTTTGGCCACAGTTTAAAGTATAATCGGAGCATTTCTCCTCGACAACCCTTCTCCCACAACATTGTGTGTGTCATAGTTGTTTTCTTAATTGTCCTAGAATATTCGCTTAACGAATTGGTGCATTAAAAAATACTCGTCATTAAATATATCATCATCCTGAAATTGCTCCAAAAATCGCAGAGTGAAATGAGATCAGGACAATTATGAAATATTGAAAAAAGTCTAGCATCGTAATTATTACAAAAGAATTTTTGTATCCATCTTTCAAATGCCAAACATGTCGTTTTTATTTTACATAGTTTTTAATACAGTATTATATTGGATGAAATAGAGATGCGACAAAACAATGTGGCCACCAAACCCGTTCGCATTTACGCAACTCTTTAAAATGAGCGTTATAATTAAGCTGAGAGTAATAAGATGCACTAAAAAAGCAAAACATCTTCTCAGTTTCCTATCCATTTGTCTCTCGTAAATGTGAGCAAATTTAGTGTTATCACTTATCTAAAGTCACATTTTATATTTAAATTTTATATGCAATTAGGACGCTGGAACAAGGCAAGGATTTCTCCAATTCGGCAATATTTCGCTGAAAGGAAATGACTTGTTATAATCTCAAACGTCATTATCATTTAGACATATCAGCCTCTAGAACAATATAAATTGAGATGAAAAATAGTCTATACTTCATGGTTATATAGCAAATTGTGGTCATAATTCAAAATTATAGAAGAAAAAATTAGAATCGCACATCTTTCTAGTATATTTTGACTTCCGGTCTGAAAAATTTCCTCACGGTACATTTGTGCTAACTTGACGAATGATATCATATGCATGCATCTTACGATCGGTCGGACCATTCTTAGATTCGACTCGACGTGTCCCTTTTATCGTTCCAGCCTCCCTGAGTATACTATAGGTAAAGTAATGCAGTGCATGGAAAAAATTAAAGTAACTTATATTCATACAATACAAAAATGCTTTTTAACTATTTATTATTAGCATGACAAAATTACTGGATACTGATTGGTTGAGAGGAGTACAATTATTTCATCAATTGTACTGCAGTACAATTAATGATTTTCCCAAAACAAACAAAATGGCGGAAAGGTATTTTAACAAAATATAAATGTGAAATGAAATTGCCCTAGAGGAACTAGATGAAAATACGAACAAAAGCACCAAATGTTGCTTTAATTTAACAAAATAACTAAATGAAAATACGAACAAAAGCACCAAATTTTGGTTGATAATCTGACAGGACTGGGCTTTGGCGAGAGAATATTATGTTGACATTGAGAAGTATCCAATTTTGTCATGCTAATAATAAACAAGTAATCATGCGATGCTGCTCGTACAATAAGGGTTAATAGTACTCGTGATGTTTGGAAATTTGCTAAATGGCCCGTACAATTTTGGCAAAATTTCCAAACATCACTCGTACTATTAATCCCTAATTGTACGAGCAACATCGCATGATTACCTATACTAATATTAAAATAAAATACTGAAATACGCTTATCTTGGAAATATGCTTGCACTAAACTACTACTAATATATTAATAATTGATTTCGTGCGTACTTATAATTAATTCAATCATGCATTAGAGATTTTCAGTGGCAATCCAGCCATATAGCAACTGGCAATGCTATCGCAATTTTTTATGATTTGCTTCAACCTATTTAGATGCAGGTTTAATAGAACAGCATATAGGCCGGTATTCTTTATCAACCATACTTGATTAAATTATTCGGTTAACAAAGAATTAACATGCATGGTTTTACATGCAGCACGAACATTTCCTGCAAATTGTATTTCGTTTTCAATCTTAGGTCACCAAAATACCACGCTTTGAGAAGCTCGTTAATAGTTCAGTGAATCTCTTGCTCATATTACTGTAGCAAATGACAACAAAATACAACTTGTAGCGAGCTGTATGGATTATATGATTCTGGCATTGATGGTACCGTTAAGCTATCGGCTATAACTGGGATGAAAAATCTCAACATAAACGCCGTTTTCAAGGCTTGGCTGAAATGAGCATGTAGTTAAAAGGTTTATTTCAAAATTAAAAAATTAAAAAATTATCTAGATTTTCTTCGCAGGTCCTGCATGAAAGTCATGATTTTGTCATATATAATTGCTCCTAACTCCCGCCTATAACCGAGACAATACCAATTGTTATTCTGACATTTATTGCAGGAAGTCCAATTATTTATTGCAACAATTTATTGCAGGAAATAATTTGACCACTGTAAGGGAAAATAGTGAAAAAACATGAATTTTCTAGCTCTTTTGCTTACAACAGTTACGATAACGAGATCATAATCCTCGTCTCACCCTAGACATCCAGTCTCATTTTTCGTATGAAAAAGGTTAATTTAATTTTCAAGTCAATTTTGACATAATGGAGGAAAAATCTTCAATATCCTCGTCCCGTCCGCCTTTGAAATAAAGCTTCTTCGACTATGCTCGAAAGGTATAAGCAGGAAACAGTTTTAACTTCACAACGAGTAAATAAGAATTACAAAGTAAATCAATTGAAGCACACAATGGCAAAGTTTTTCAGTCCATGTTCCTCCGCATGTGATATGAAGAATAGAAGTTGAAGAATTTGGAATAAGAATATTTGTCGAAATTGAAAGTTGTAACGCAGTTTTACTTAGAGTCAAACAATACCGAAGCTTGGGCTATAGCGGTATGAGAGAATGGCGTCAGATTCCTCATTAGGCGAAAAAAGGCGTCTGATTCCTCATTGCCTTAAATGCAAAATAAACCAAACTCAGCACAGTCTGCATGATCGAACACCCCGCTTATAGCCTTAGTCTTCTGTATCAATTCCATTTTTAAACTTGAAAAAGCACTTACAAAAACAGAAATACAGCAAAACGAGACAGTAATATGATTGTGAAATGCAAGACCACAAACTAGTGCCTTGCTGCCATAACTCGATCCCTCAGACACTTTGTCAATATCGCATCATGAGCCATGACCAAAACTTGCCGAGCACCCTCTTAGACTACCAGATGTGGCTGGATCCATCCCCACCGAATGTCAAATCTTCGTCCTTATTCACCTGACCTTCAAACATGACCCTATGCCTGTTAATTGTTGCTGCGGTTATTGTTGTAGTTGTCCAAACCGTTGTTGCAAAATAGATAGTATTAAAGAGCTTACGAACAGGAACACACCAAGCAAGGCATTATATGCATTCCTCTATACTTCTCCCTATTCCCACACGTTTTAAAAAATTTGTTCGTAAGACCGAGAGCATCGATCCTCTTTAAAGTTAAATGCTCCTTAACAACTTGGTCCATGAATGGATGAAAATAATTATAGAGGTATCCACAGTTAAACCTTCAAAAGAAGTACAGTCCCTCCAAAACAAAGCCAGTGCGAAATTGATGGAGAAAGTTCTTTAAGAGAGTAAGAAATATTGGAAATGTGGTGATAAGTATTGATAATATGCTGCAGCAATGAAAAAGAACCTTTGAAAAGGATATTTGTTTCATGTGAGCACAAAATGTAAATTTAGTCTAGTACATAGTTCATTCAAAAATTCAGTAAAAATACTTCCATTTATGCTACATGCATGAAACTTAACTTCGGGTACTTGTAGATAAAAACTGTCTCTCTCTGTTACATTCATAAAATTGTTGACATATTTGAAATTTGAACCGGTAAATATACGTTTATGCATAATTGCAACATTTTTCATATCATAATTTATGCAAATTTATGCACGTTATTACGTCAACCAAACTTGTGATAAAATTGAAATTGGTATCGTTGGAAAGTGGAAGTTCTCCTCTTTCGAACGATGCAATTTCTGTTTCCATACGATGTATTGTTTGAAAGATATTTGCGTTTAAAACAACACTACTCAAAATTGCTACATTTCGACCGGATGAGAATGAGTTAACTCCCAGTTCTATTCAGTATATAAGTATTCACCCGTGAGAATACTCCAATTCCAAATAAAGGTCAATCTCCATACACTTCCATCTAAGATTTGATCATCAACTCCCAAGGTGCAGCTAAGCAACTTTCTTACGAACTTAACCCCGGTAAAGCCTGTGGTCTTGATGAAATCCCAACTAGAATCCTTAAGGGCGCCAGCTTTCGATTTATCAGAAACAAAAAAATTGTCGTTGAATTTTAATGGAGGTATGCCAGAGCTCTCAGATTTACTTGTGCGTAAATAAGAAGTACAGTCCCTCCAAAAATCTAGCTTGTTCACATGAAGCGTTTTAAACTCTGTCTGTACCAGTTTCGTACTATAGGACATGACTAAGTTATCGGTAAGCTATGTACAGTTGAAATCTAGATGTCATGTGTGGTGCATTGGTACATGTAATGTGATGGAGTGTTGCTATATTGTAGACAACTGCTTTGTTGTCTACGGCTATCAAATTTTATAATTAAAATATTTATGGAAAGTGAAAGCAGCAGCCATATATAGGCCATATGACGGTACACATTATTTGTATTAAAACTTGGTGATGCAATTGCAAATTCTTGTCATGGAAGAAATTGAAACAAGTTGCTGCTGGAAATACTAAGAATATTCTTAGAAGTGGTGCATGGACTCCAAAAAACCGCACAACTGCATGCAATGTCGCGTACGAATATTGACGAAGTGCAGCAATGAATTTCAATTAACAATCGACTGTGTCTCACAATGCGCCGTTGATAGTCCAGACATTGATGTTTACGATTTTACTTGGTATGACGATTATATGGCAATTAACGTAGACCTACTGTATAAGAGCTCTGGCATATGCAATATATGTTACTTCTGTCTGGGAGTGGTTTTCTCCTAAAACTTTAGAATACATCTTATACGCCAAGCGCAAGTTACTCACTTCCAAAGTTTTGTTTTTCATTTTTTGGGTAACGTTGGCCACAAGGAGATATACTTCAGCTTCAGCTACGCTTCCCTCAGGAAAACGACTTTTAATGACAGACAATGCGTCATAAAATGACGTAAGCGCGTCTTTATAAGACCCAACATAGAAATGAGCTACTGCAAACGCCCTACGACACTCAAATTCTTCGAGTTTATAACAGGATTCATCAGAAATTTTCGGAAGTCGCAGAAGTGCGTGTTTAAGGGAATCAATTGCTGTTATATATTCCCGCATTTTGTTTTGAATGTGACCCTTCCACGTATAACATCGAAAGATCCAAAGATGTTGGCTTACTTCTGGCAGTGATTCTGCTATTTGGGTAGATCTGTCAATTACCTTTCTCGCCAATTTAAACTTTCCAATATTATTTAAAGCTTTAACCATTGAGATGTGAAATATAACCGTTACCTCTCGAATAATAAAATTGCTTCTCAGTGTGATCTCTAACTCAATATCAAGAGCTTCTTGAAGGAACGCTAGGCCAGCTTTATACTTTCCGGACTCAACTTGTATTGAACCTAATCTCAAATATAGTATAGGTAAGAACGGCTTATGACTTTCTTTGATTAATGATAAACTACTTTCCAACAATTCCATGTACATGTTTTCATCTACCTTCAAATCTATAAGATGTATAAAAATTACACTTTGCATAATTGAACGTTCTTGATCGCAATGCGTATTAACTTCAAGTGCAGTTTTGAAACATTTTATACTTTCAGTGTTGTTGCCAAGCGCGTTATGCACCTGTCCAATCATACAGTAACATTCAACTGCACCACGTATATACCTATTGGAGCTTGGCTTCTCAGCATGCAGTGTTTCCCATATTTGCAGAGCCTGTTCAAGTGTTGCAAGACCAGAAGATGAATCATTGAAACCCAACTGCGATTGCCCTAGCAAAACTAAGATTTCAGCGATTTCTTCAGTACCTTCATCGCACAATTTCATTTTTATTCTAAGTACTTCATCAAAAGACGCAGCTGCAGATTCAAATTTGTTTAGCCATTTATACGCTTCTCCTTTCCCGATATAAACCTCGGCTAAATGAACATTACAGCTGCTGCTCCCATCATGAATGGCTGTCATAATTTCAAGGGCCTGATCAAATGCATTAAGAGCAGAAATATAATTCTCAGCATTATTCTCAGCCAAGCCCATTTTGAGGTAACAGAACGCGGTTTCCCAACGTTGTTTACCATATTGCTTAAGTGAAAGATCAAGTGCGTTACGACATGTGTCAACTCTTAGACCTTGTTTTTTTTCATTATCGATTTGAAAATTATAGCAATTGAGCAATCGCGCAGAAAAACAACTCACAGACATCTCTGATATCATCGGAAATATTCTATCTGTCAAGGAACAACAGTCATCAGACATCACTGATTTTTCAAGAAACGTGATCCTTTCATCCAAAAGAACTTCTTGTCCTACACAAACACCAAGATCAGCTAAAAGACAATCACCGTATGTGAATATTCGAAATAAATATTGTGAAGCATTGTATGCCTTATTTTCTACCTGCCGCTCTAATTGATCAACAAAATTTAAAAAGTAAAGTTGTGTCTCATCACTTAAAATTTGTATTGACCATCTAGTTAAAAGATAGACAAACAATATTAATTGCTCGCCTTTATATTCCCTTTGCGTCATAGATAAAGTCTCATCACAATCACCAATTAAAAAGATATTGTAATTACCAATTTCTTTACAAACCTCAGTGGCCTCTTTACTCAATTTCCTTGATTTGCTGTACTCTTTGGAGTCAGTATAAAAAAGAGTAAGAAGCTGCAAGCATAAACATTTTACAAGTTGTTGGTCTGCGCAATTTTGCAAACCATCGACATATTTTTCAATACATTCAATACCTGACTTTATATTTCCTTTGGAAATAAGTGAAATTCCTTCATAACAACCTAATTTTGCTGCACTACCATCCGATAACAGCATGACATTTTCACGTATATGTTTAGGTATTTCTAAATTTTCTAAATACTTAGATGAGAAAAACAGTGGAAAGGCAATACTTAGAAAATACTTGCTGACATGCAACTTTGAGTAAGCGTCGATGTATTGCTCTGTTCTGCATTTTTCTATAGCAAAATCATATAATTTGGAAATATCTAGCGATTCAAGGGAGGGTAAACCAATAAGAAAAAGAAATATTTCAGACTTGGACAAGATGCGAAAAAGATCTTGACAATTTTCTGAACTACACGTGCTTGTCGTAAAATAATGAATAGCAATCGATAGATGCTCCATTGCGTCTTGCAGTTGGGGAGTGTCCACCGAATTCCCAGAAAGAAAATCGTCATGAAACCTTTCAAAAAGAAGAAAGTAATACCTACAAAAGCGAATTCTAGAGGATTGAAAGACATTCTTAAAATCGCTTTGTTTTGCTTTATCTGCAACAAAAGAATGAATGAGAGGGTGAATAGAGTAATATTCTGCACAGGGATCTTCATCAATTAGTGATTTCTTCATAAGTGTTTTAAGGCTCCCGACAGCTTTCACAACACCAATTTCATCAGAAATAACATCAACTGCAGCATCTTTACTTATTCTACCGGATGAAAATACGATTAACGAAATCAGCGCGCGTTTGTCACTTAATGACAGCTGCTCAAAAGGAGTATCGAATAACCCTTTCATGTTTTGCTCGTATGACCTGTCTATCTCTAAAAGATTTCCAGAAAGATTTAATTCTGCAAGTATTTTATTCGCCATATCTTCATTATTGTTTTCAACTATCGAAGCAACAAGTTTTATAGCCAGAGGAACATTGGAAGAAATTCTAGCCACATTTGCAACAACACTTTCAGAAAATGAAGGAAGAAGTTGACGAACAAATTCAACAGACGAAACTGGATGAAGGGGTCGAATTCGGATGTCTCGAAAACATTCTATTAGATCGCGCATATTTTCTAAAAGCTCCCTTGTTGTAAAAACTACATTAACGTTAACATTACTGTCTAACAATTGTCCAAATAAACCCGCAAGTCTAACGGAACAGTTTTCACTCGACAGAAGATCATCAAGATTATCAAATATAAGAAAAATTCGAGACGAAAGTTCTCTTAGAATACTTACTAGCTTGTCAATAGGTGGTAAACTAAGATCAGCTAAATTAGTCTTAAAAATACTTAAAATTTTAGATAAAAATTCATCTGCTGTTCTAATACCCTGTAATTTAAAAAAATACACAGGGCAGGTGAGAGACAAAAGACGACGTGCTACTTCAATAGCTGTGGATGTTTTACCAAATCCAGGAGATCCCCAGATGTTTACCAGTCGTGTTGATTGACCAGTTATAAGGTTTGTAATTTGTTCAATTTCATCTTCTCGGCCAGCGAACAATGGAACAGCGCTCGGAACATATGATTTGGGTAACGTTTCTATAGGTTTAATAAAGTACCATTAATTAATGGTACAAGTACGTAGTTAAATACGAGGTTCTAACTTATATATGAAAACAATTGTGCTATATAGTTTGCAAACTTTGTTCTACGTAACTACGTTACTTTCGAAAGCCAAACATACATGTATTGAGACTTAAAGTGCCCCTAATGCTTCAAACGTTTTTTCGCGATATCAAATCTTGGCATGATTTCTAGTATTTTGCCGAAAACAAAAATGAATTTCGTCAAATCCTCCAATTTTTATGGCAGTTTAAAGTTGGTAAAAAGGCACTTTTTGTGGACCACTTCCGTGGCCACAAGGAGTCTGAAACGAGTGAATTTTGTGACGTCATCCGAGGTACTCGTGAAAACCACATGCAAATTCACTGTAGATCATATACATATATTGCGTTTGTTTGCTTTGGTAAAAAAGATGGTCAATAGTTGTGTAGCGGCCAATTGCACGAATAAAGCTTGCCTAAGTTCAGGTATAAGTCTTCACACTATTCCTTATTACAACGATGATCGACCTGAAGCAAAGAGAAGACGGAAAATCTGGGTTGACTTCGTGAAGGCAAAACGGGTCTTCGAGCCTTCGAAGGCTTCGACTTTATGCTCAATTCACTTTCTGCCTGAAGATTACGAGCGAAGATTCTCCAGTTTGCCTAATCAAACGAAGCCAAATCATCCGAGGTTAAAGAGAGATGATCTTGGCATTTGCGTATACCCAAGTATTCATGCTGTAGCGACGAAACATGCAAGCGAACCAGATACGCAAAGTCCTAGGGATAGACGCATGGTGAGTTTATTGAATTTTTTGCACGATTTTTTTCAATTTTTCTGAGTTGTTTCCAACGTATATTGTATAGCATTTAATTATGTAATTATATATAGGATATATATTATATATATTATATATATGTTATAGTCCATTGTATCTTTCATATAGTTCATAAAAGCTATCACAGAAGAAAGCACATGCCATGGGGAAGTCGAAGGTTCGAAGATGGACGTCGTCACCAAGCGCACACCAAAGTCGACTGCACAGCGCAAGAAAAGGAAGCAAGAGTTAGGGCCCCAAGAGCTGGAGATGCTTGGAGAAAGTCACCCTGACGAGCCAGTAAATGTAAGGTCACCAGTCACTTACTATTATAAATGCAAATGCCAGGTTTATAATTATACTATAAATTATACTCAGCCTATGGAAGCGTTTTAATGTAAATACACGCAGATGCGCCCTACTTTGTTGTTTTACTCAGTCTAATGCCAGACTATTTTACTCATCAGGGAGAGCATGCTGCCACTCAATGGATTAATTAGACTATCTGCCCATGCAACTTTGTTATTACATCTACCTAATGCACTTATCAATGTTAAGCCGCAGAGGGGGGGGGGGTCGGGCATAGGTGGGGCATTTGATTTTTTGAGCAAATTTTCAATCAAATGCCCCACCGTCAGGCAATAAATATTGGTCAAATACCCCACCATTTTGCAATAAATTGCAATAAATACTATATTAATAAAAGTCATTTGGTTCAAATTGCCCCAACTTGGGACCAAAATGCTAATCAAAATCCCCAGGGTGGTGATGCAATTGATGATCAAATACCCCACATATGCCCAACCCCTCTGGGGATTAACATTGATAGGTGCATGATGTCAGACAATTTTAATACTTGTCGGGGGAGAGTGCTGCCACCCAATGGGTTATTAAAAATATTGTTTTATTACTTTATACTCATAGATCCTCACAACTGATACCGATACACAGATGCCAAACTTGAATGCTGATTTGGAAACAATCTTTGAAAAAAACCGAAGACTGAAGAACCAAATCATTACCCTGCAAACAATTGCACAAGAGAAGAAAATTAAAATGAAACAAATGAAACGCAAAGGTATTAAGCCCATATATAATACTGTATAATATGGTGCAATTTAATCTACTGTAGGTTTAATATCATACAATGCAATCGAAAAGGCTATTACCTGTATATGAAGCAGCATTCTATTTTAATACATATCTAGTAAACAAGCTTGAACGATTATTGGAACAAAAATCAGTGTCTGAAAAAGAGAGTGAAAAGGAAGAAACTGAGATGGAAGAAGTAACAGAGAGCGAAACTGATGATGAAGAAGCCATGGAAGATGAGAGTGAAACCAAAGACCCGGCTTACGAGGTGGAAGAAGCTGAGGTGGATAGTGAGGCTGAAGAAGAAGAAATAGAAGAAGAAAGTTTGGGGTAAGTATTTTATACTATTGTGATAAAAATATAGATTTTACACAACATTTACCACACTGATTAGTACCATTGTTTTAGCCACTCAAAGGAAATTTGTTATTCGTTTCTTTGCACCATCATGGCAGAATATATATACCAAAGTCATGATCTCATGATTTAGTACTTTTTTTACTTGTGATAGGTTATTGCAAGTCGACGGCAATCTGCGAACAGAACCAAAACACATTGTGTTTTTGTCACAGCTTCTGTTGCTTTTCAACTTTTGCCATTGTTGCAAGACTGACAATCCATTAGTTGAGGCAAAAGGTGTTGGAACTGAAGCAGTTGTCACCACTACATGCAACAACCCAAAGTGCCCACAGAAGACTACAATTTGGCATAGCCAACCTAGAATGCCTGGACGTAAAACACCTGCTGGTAATTTCCTTTTGTGTATGGCAGTTTTACTCGGTGGTGGCTCTTACACTAAATTACGGCAAATATTTCTGCACATGGGTCTTGGATGTATTTCACATAATACATACTTCCATTATCAGAGAGTAAGTACAGTATATGCTAAACAGACTTATTTATTTATCTAATACATTATGGTTGCACTTTTCACTCAACCCTTTTCAGTGAACAGTTTGACAGTATTGGAAAATTGCTTGAAATTTGCCCTCATCATGAGAGTCTTGGTTTAAAATATATCTGAAGTAATGTAAATTATGTTTTAGACTGTGTTATTTCCAACCATCTATCTACACTGGAAGAAGTACCAGGCAATGTTGATGGAGAAGGCTAAACAAGTGAAAGATGGTGTAGTGATAGCAGGGGATGGTCGCCATGACAGCATGGGACATTCGGCCAAGTTTTGTGCATATACAATTTTTTGTTGTACGTTTGCACAAATCATACATTTCAATCTTGTACAGGTAGGAATTATTTTGCAGGCTGCTTATTAGAATCTGCATCATGCAATCGGAAAATGATGATATATAAAGTTCTTACACTCACCAGTGAATTGATCAATGTACTTATTGCAGCTCTGTTTTTCACTTTTTCTCCATTGTAGAGAAATCAGGCAGGAAGTAGTCCAGCGATGGAGTTCATGTCTTTCAAGTTATGCATGGATTACATGATTGCATATGGCCTTACCATAACAACATTTATATCAGACAGGCACACTTCCATTGCAAAACACATGCGGACAGTCCTGAAGAACATTGTCCATTATTTTGACATCTGGCACTTGAAGAAAAGTAAGAGCAATTCCTACCTACAACATGTACAATTTGCTCTGTAGTACATAGTACTGTATTAAATGCACATGTTTATTATTTGTGGGCTCTCATTACAAGAGGCCTGGACATTAGCTTTGTTCACTTTTTATTTCTTGACTTTATCACCATAGATAGGACTTATTGTAGCTCATCCATTTCATTAATTAAGTTCTCACGCTGTCGTGCCCTCACAAATTACCAAAATAATGAGAAAATGCACACAACATTACAACAATAATAACAAGTGAGCAAAGCTAGTGTCCAGGCCTCTTATATGAGAGAATAATCAGAGCCCACTGAACTATAAACATTACTGAATAACTAATGATGTAATATATTATGCAATATGCACTCTATATTATTATTGTTTATATTAAAACTCACACAGGATATCACCATATGTCTAGCAAAGTGACCTCATATGCCCCAGAAAGTATTGTGAGAGGGGGATCTGTTTACAAATAAGTGCTTCTGACCAATTCTTATTTTCCTGCATTTTGTATTCATTTTTTCTCACAGAAATTAGGAAGGTGCTTTCAAAAATAGCCAAAGAGAAAGACTGTGAGGCAGTAAACGAGTGGATCAAACCGTGTGAAAACCACCTGCACTGGAGTGCCACCTCGACATTCAGGGGAAATGGGCTGGTCATATGGGCTAAGTTCAAGTCCTTTTTGAGGCACATTGTGAACATCCATTCAGGTCACAGTGATCCCCTGTTTGATAAGTGTGCCCATGGCAGTGACATTGAAGCTAGAAAGTGGCTGACCATTGGTATGTTATTGAAGCATGTGCATGGCCAAAAGTTCTTGCATTCATTGTATATTTATTGTCATGCAGGTAAAATGTAATCAGTTCCCAATTCAGTTGGAGTTGTGGTTGGAAGGCCCATCAGACCTACCTAAACTCTATTATCCAGGATCACTCTAGTACAGTACATGCATGAATAGATAACTGATGCAGTTCATGTTTTTTTCTATAGATTCACCACTTCATAAGAAAGTTTGTACTGCACTGACAAACACCCGACTGATGAAAGGGATCAAGAAAGCGTCTCCGTTAGCACAGACAAGCTGCTTAGAGGGCTTCCACAGCGTGTTAAATCACTTTGCCCCAAAGATGATTGCATACTGTTATGTTGGACAATATTGCAGGTTAGAAACTTAACTAAAGTCATATTTATA